TAAGGACAGTAAGAAATTACCATGGTAGCTAATATGATAAAATAAGATCAGTCAAATAATACTATAAATTTGGTGTCTAAATGATAATGGAAAGAAATAAACGTGAATTAGTAGGATCAGTAAATTGCGCGAAATGATTTTAACAAATATATCATACAAAATAGTGAAAACAAAATAGAAAAAAATCAAAAGCATCACTTAACGTTGAGTAATCAGATCATTATAATTTAATTAAATGTGATATTACTGCTAGCCAGAACAAAGGCAAGTATCAATATCACGAGCTCCAATCCATTAATAGTGATAAATAAAAATATTGTGTAGGGCTCACAATATAAGTGAGATAAATGACTAACAGCGTACAATTGAAACTTTTTGGTAAAGTATTAAACTAAAGTATTTCATGCAATCGCTGAGGAAATTCGTTAAAGATTGCAAGCTTTGGTGGAGAGAAGATCGTCTAAGCGTATTCAAGCAAAAAGGGATGAAATTATATTTTAGGAAATATCAAAATTTATTTCTTAACAATGAATAAGATGATCTGAAGCAGGCCTACTAAATAAAAGAATGGTTGCAATAAAAATGCCTCATAACGATTTAGAAGAGATGTATAATTCAAGATTAAGGATTTGATCTTTTTGGTACAAAAATAAGTTTGGCTATATAAAAAATAAATAAGAGTACATGAAGCCGAACTCGATACTCAATAAGTTGGGATAATTAGCAGGTCTAATTTCGGAACGCTATTTAGTCTACATTGACACTTTAAAACGTAAAGTATCCCAATGCTTACACGTTTAGCAAGACCTAGGCCCATTACGGTGGTGGACATTGAGGTGGTTGTCGCAGAAGCATGTATGCCGATGCTGGCCGGATCCTGCCCAGGCATAGATTGGTGAAAATTCGTTTGTCCGGATGCAGAGGGTACAGTAATAGAGTTGCCAGAACAGGACCCAATATCTGTACAAACTCCAGAAGATAAATAAGATGGATCAGTCGGGACCTGGTGAACTTGATTTTGGTTATGATAAGGAGTGCACCGATTATGGTGCTGTGATTGGTGGTGATAAGGACAGCGTGGAATTCGCTTTGCGGCCCAGGTATCACAGATGCTGGGTGCCAGATCACAAACTATATCAAGCAATGGTAGATAAAGTTGAGCGACCAGGGAAAGTGCGTTTGGTGAGTTGACAGACCATGAGCTCCGTGGCCTCTTTTCAGATTGTGCCTTTGGAATACACTTCAAGTTACGACCTAACTGAAGTGCAAATGGTTTAATCATTTGAGTTCGACCCGCTGGTGGTTGGAGTTGCAGAAGGGTGGAATCAGCGCCTGTTAGGCGAGGATCACACTCATGGCTGCAGAGTAGATGCCAGACAAGCAGCATGGCTTGGTTCTGCAGCAATTGATCACTGTATTCGGGGAAAAAAGTATGCAGGAAAGATTGGATTAGCCTCGAAAGGCAATATACACTTCTTTTGGCTAAATAACTAAATGATGTCAGGAATGTCTAGAATATGGAAGCATATGAATCTATATATTTTTAAGAAAGCAAATAATTTTAATGAAAAAAATTATTTAATCGTATGGATAAGGACCAACATGTAAGCTCTATTTTAGTCGCAGTCTCCTCTTATTTTATATGTGATTCGACTTTATTTTCGAAACGTGATCATGTTATCAAATGGTGAACACCCATTTTCCGGAGTCCTCTGCCCTAGTACCTATGATATTTTCCAGCTTCAGATATAACCTAAGGCCCAACACTTAAAATTAGTATGATTACTATGGCAGAGGACTTCCGACAAGGCGTGTTCACCTAGGTTCCTCTGATAACACGAATAAATCAAGAAGACGAGGTAAAAGTATAACAGAAAAAATAATACCCCATTAGGTTAACGTATTTAAATTAGCAAAAATAAAGTCTTAAATCCACCAAACCTAGTGTCTAAACATAGCTTCAGCTCAGATAGCACCATAGCGATGATGAAGTGAGTGGCCCGATATGTAGGATGTGTCAAGAGGGACCAATTGAAATCCCGGCAGTTAACTGGTTCTCCAGTAGTCTGCAGAGCATCGTCACGTGAGATCAAGGGCTCGCCATCAGCTTCATGAGGAATTACAACCGAATCACCAGGAGCTGTACTACCAGCATCGGAAAGACGGGAGTCGATTTCACAGCCGATTGAGGAAGCCGAAAAAAGCAAAGGTAGGCTAATAGGAACTAGGTGGTCGTAGGAGGATACGATACGAAGCAGATTAAGTTTTCGGTTGACCAAGCATCGGGCTACCGTCATTTGATGAGAATGAATAAGTGAATCATTAACAGGTGGGATAGAATCCAAAGCAGCCGGAGGCCGACAGAAAAAGCCAAGATGTGTGGTAGGAATGATAAATGAGCTACCATTCTTTGTCCCACCTGGATGATGCGATTCGTCGGTCGGGGAGTGACAATTAGGGAGAGTACAGGATAATAGAGGAGTAGATAGTAAGGCAATCTGCGCATTAACCTAGAGAGTATGAAGAAAAAATTCAAAAAGTCGGAATCTGTTACATGTAAAATAATTTAGGATTATGATGCCTAATAGGGGCTAGCCCAGTTCAGCTAGAAGTAATATGAAGGGAATGATAGATTTTAAGACTAAGGTATATCGTGAGTCGCAAAGAGCCTGAAGAAATGGATAGAATAACATCTGTTTCTGCAGAGCAATGTATGATATGAATGAATAGGATATAGTAAAATAAATAATAATTGACAGGATAAAAATGAATTAAAATAAAAGAATCTAAATATAGAAAAATGAAGAAAAGTAAAGCTAAGAATTTAAAAATAGCCAGATGTATTGAGTATTGGAGCATAAAAAGTAGATCCGTAGATAAAAGTAGTAATTTTACTTACGGCTCGACAATATTCAGCGATATGTTGTAGTACAAGACCTTTCTCCATCAGGCCAAGCAAATCAAGAAGAAAAAAGGCAAGTGTATCATTGATGAATTTGGAAGAATAGAAGCCAGCTAGTGCCTCCAAAGTGCCCGTCTCCTTGTTGATACCATTAGTAGATGAGCAAGTGCAGGGCAGCTCATAGATACCGCCAGCAAGTGAAGTCGCCCCTGCAAAGGCATTTACTGCACTAGGAGTAGTGGTACAAGGGCTATTGGTACCCGTACTGCTGCTGCTACTATTGCTGGTAGTGGTGCTAATAAAACTAAGTGAATCAGTCTGGCCAGATGAGGAACCAGCTGTCAAAGATGCAGACGAACAGTGTTCATCGCGAGGCTTACGGAGCCAGGCTGGAAAATGGTTTGATATAGGCGAAACTGTGGGTGGATTGCGTCTAAAAGAGCTGCCAGCTTGTTGATGCTGGCAGGTCTGAATGCCAAGATGCGAAAGCGCATTGAGAGGGCTATATTGATGCCGAGGAGCTAAGGGTTCAGCGGAAAACATGCCTGGGGGAAGAGAGGAAGGTGTAGAAGAATCGGCCTCGCGAGGTGTAGACAAGCAATTCGAAGACATTATTGAGATGAAAGTGGAATTGGTTAAATGACTGTTGGTTGCAGCCGCAAGAGGCTCGGAGACAGCCAAAGTAGTGAGACAACGAATAAAGGCATGAAGGTTGGTGAGTAGACTGCACGAAGATATTGATTCCGTAGCACCAAGCTGACTAGGCACATTCGAAGCAAGGCTTGATCCTCGCGGAATAGCCTGAAAACCAGCACCAGACCGCGAATCGAAGGGAGGCGAGAGTGGTGGTGAATATTTCGGATAGGCATGATGATGCTCAAGAGGAGTAATGATAGAATTAGCCGAAGTGGGTAAAAAAGCGGTTGTTGATGATAATTGTTGTTCGCGTCGGAAACGCACTTCAGCCAAGCTATAGAGCTAAATAAAGTAAAAGGTAACCCAAGGAATATTCGCATTTAGATAGGTAAGCCGACATCAATCTATACGGAAAAAGTCAATAGATTCCTTTAATTGTATATTGACCCTTACTTCTGGTTTACTCTACCAAATAATTCGTTAATCATAATAGGCTCTAAGTAATCTCTCCATTGAAGTGTAAATACGACTTACAAAAATTTCAATGAAAAACCAGCAGGATCCTCCAGTTACTATCTCGGAAGCTCTGAGACGGGGGCTTGATGCAAGGCAAAGTAAAATGAAGAGCAATCTGTTCGGAAGGTGCTGTTAAAAGAAGGATAGTTTTGAAAAAATAAAGCAGAGTTGTTTATTAATAAAGAGAAAATAGCAAACTTGATAGTACATTTGGAGGCGATAAAATAAATTCATTCAAAAATGTGTTTATTTTTTATAATTTGCGACTTTAGATTTATTTTTAAATGCTTCCCTCCTAAATATATTATGCTTTTGCTGCCAGTTTATTGATAGTTACAAGAAATCGATTTCTTTCGTTACTTTTGGAAAATTCATTTATCTACGAAAACCGAATTTAGGTGGGAATTAAAGAAGCTTATCACAGATGAAAATAATTCTCAGACAAAAAAAATTTCTATCAAAATTAGAACCGATTACAGTGATTAAATAAACATAAGTAGCTTTTAGGAAGTCTTAGAGGGACGCACCTTATCCGGAGTCCATTGTATGCATAATCATTTCCAAATTCGGACCATGGACATGGTACATTCCCAGACGTTTCGCCGGCATCATAGTCGGCATCGACAGTGAGTCTCGTCATTCGTAGCACCATATTACAACTCGTCAAAGAGACAAGTGAAGCACGATCCATTGACCAAACGTGTGCTAAACAGTTATGATATCTCCCGTTCTGCCCTGGCCTTTCACATTTCCTATATTCTCCAATCACGCCTTCACTGTCACAATATTTTACTTGCTTAATAAAATGTGGTACAGTGTGCCCTTTTGAGCGGCTTTCATAAGAGCCCTCCGCACTCCACACTGGCCTTCTCGACCCCATTCGTCATTGTTCTGGTAATGTTGATTAGAGTCTGTCATATTGTTCCTCAGTCCTCCTTCCATAGGTATTACCACTGTCTCTCTCTTGCTCCGTAAGATCCATCTGCTATCTCCCTGGTTCACATATTTCATTCGACCCCTGCCACCCCATCTGTGCCACTCGAGGCGTTATTCACCCTCCTCTGCGTCTTGTTGACTAATTCGAGGCTAAAGCCTCTGAGTAAGTATCATAGTCACGCCTTTGCCACATGGGCCACGTCTCTTATAAAACCTACTGTCAGCCCACTAGCTCCCATCGCCGTCGCATCTATCCGATTTCTAGCCATAATACCAAGTCTATGACTTCCTATGCCATAGTCTCTTGTGCGCCAAGCCACAAATGTTATGGTACTGCTTGCTTTGACTAGGTTCAATGTTGAACCACAACGCTTGTGGGTAAGAAGGCCAGCGTGGAGTACGGAGGGTTTTCATGAAAGCCGCTGAAAAGGGCACACCGTACCACATTTAATTGAGCAAGAAAAAATTGTGAGAGTTAAGGTGTAATAGGAGGATATAGGAAATGCGAATAGGCCAAGGCAGAAGAGGAGATAC